CCTCCACTCAACCCCCGTCGGTGCTTACAGTCGTACGGGGAAACAATAACGAAACGCACTCGGCACAAACGGGATCAGAAAATGAAATCACGCCGGCCTGCTCCGCGCTTGCTCCGCGCCGCGCTCCACCTTGAGCAGGGGCGGGGGGCTGCCACTGGCACTTTATCTCCCGCTCGCAAGGATGGGGCGAGAGGCGAGGCACTTCCGCCAGCGCCGCTGTCGAACTAGTTCCAGATCAGGCGTTACACTGCAGCTGGGGGGAGCGGAGCACGAGCGCCGCCAGTAGCTAGATACGTACGGGGGTATAAGGCGAGTTCCGTGCCGAGAGAGAAAGGAATGTGGCGGACGGAGCGGAGCTGGAGGGGTCGCCGCCGGGGCGGCACCGGGCATTTAGTGCCGCAGGACACGCGACGGATGCCGGCCCTTCCTGGTGCACCAGGGCGTGCTGCAGGGTGTTCTGCAGGGCATGCCGCAGGACGTGCTGCAGGGCGTACTGCAGGGCGTACTGCAGGACGTTCTGCAGGGCGTTCTGCAGGGCTTTCTGTAGGGCGTTCTGCAGGGCGTTTTGCGGGCGTTCTGCAAGGCGTTTTGCGGGCGTTCTGGAGGACGGTCTGGAGGACGTGCTGCAGGGTGAACTGCATGGCGTGCCGCAGGGCAGGCACATCATAAGGGGCGGCGAGGAACGAGCAGTTTCCCAACGAAAGTAATGAAACTATTAGAAGACAAAAGCGAGAAACTAAGAATGGCTCGTGTAAGTGTACGAAAAATGAAAAATTTAGTGCATGTACGTTATGATAAAGGTGAAACCACGATGCAGAAAACCCTACACACTGTTAAAAAATCTGTGGAAAAACCACAGACAACCACAGAAAAATTCCCAACAGAGGTGTACGGATTGCTTCTGTTACAGAAATTTTCAGTTATTTTGTGAACACAGAAGTCTGTGCTTCAAAATCACAGAAAAAACAGAACAGAATCGTACGGATTGCTTCCGTCATAAAAATAGTCTGTCATTCAAGGGGTGCGGACCCATCTGTAACAGACATTGTGTCTCAGTGGTAAAGCGTCCGAAGACGCCGCTAGATGGCATTCTACATTAGCTCTCGCTGATCACTTCCGTCCTGGTCACCATGTAGTGTCCCACCCTGGACGATGAAAATGGGAAATAGTTTCCCGCGCGCTGCAGTCCTGTGCTGAAGCGCCAATGAAATTGAATTTTTGACTCACTTTGGGTACCAAAGTATCCTACACAGACGACGATCCCTCTAATTCAACAAAACTGTGTCCAGAAATGAATGGCTAAGTCACAGAAAATATCTGTAATAATTCTGTGGCAGGTGTACGGAGTAGCACAGACGTTCTGTAACAGAAGCTCCGTGGTTTTCTGTCCCTTTGACTCCGTACCGTCTCTGTGGTTTCAGCACAGATTTGGACGGACGTTCTGGGCAAAAAATTGACCATAGTTTTTCTGTGTTTTTTCCGTGGTTTTTTCTAACAGTGCATCGAGGGTGAGATAAAACAACTAATTAATTGTACTTCTTGGTCATTGCGAAAACAATGCGAAATGACCACGATTTTCACGGGAATAGTTGGTGATTACAATGCACAATGCAGCGCCAGAAGTCCCAACGCACCATTTGCCCATCAGTATAGTCGGCGCGATGGAGGAGCAGGGGGAGAGGGGGGGGGCAGGGTAAAGTGACACTGGTGCTACTGCCGGTGCTGCTGTCCTTTTGGCACGGCGCCTGTTCGCTTGCGTGTGTGTGTGTGTGTGTGTGTGTGTGTGTGTAAGGGCCAAAGTCGCAATGCGACAGACAGAGACGGATATAATGAGCGCAGTGGAGTCGAGCAGCAGCAGCAGCAGCCCGCTCTGGAGCCGCAGGGAGCTATTTGCTTTTCGAGCTGAGCGCGCGCGACGCTCTCGGAGGAGAGGGACGGAGAGAGGGCCGGGACGCGACATGGCGTGCGGAGTAACCCTTTCATGTATGAGGGCGCCACGGCGAGAGCGAGAGAGAGCGAGAGCGAGCGGGGTAGAGAGAGAGAGAGAGAGAGAGAGCGAGGGAGGGCAGAGGGAGCCATGAGGGCCTTTTGAGCGACAGGGTCGGCGGCGGCGGCGGCATTTCCCCCCAAATCACAAAGGAAAGTTTCATTACAGTTTTCCCGCCCTTGCTTTACTCAATTCCCGTGCAATTTTCGTGCCCAGTGCGTGTCGGGCGTCGGCGCTCCCCGCCCGCCGCCACACACAGCCTCCCTCCCGCCCCGCCCTCCCTGAGCGACAGTCGGTGCCCGCGAGACAGGCCTTTTAATCATGGCGCTACATTTGCAGTAATGCATCGAGTGACTCGCCTCACTCGCCTCGCCGACCCTCTCGCCGCTCCGATACCAGTGCAGCCGACACACCGTCACCCCGTCACTCTGGGTCCAGCATGGCTGTTGGGGGAAGCCATGAGCAAAGTGGGGGAAGGGGGGGAGGAGGGCACCGTCATCTCCCCGCCCGGCGCACTTACAGAAGCTGGCAGGGATACAATAATACCCCCAGAGAAGGGGGTGGAGGGAGAGAGGGGATGTCCCCCCCCCCCCAGCAGGCTTATCATGTGAGAAGGGGTCGGGCGCGCGCGCGCGCTCCGTATTCAGACTTACGGAGCCAGAAAAGACGAGTCCCTTTATGCTCTCCTTTCTTCTTCTGGCTCCATTCCTTATTCTGCAATCAGGGAGCGGGGGGAACAAAGGGCGTTATTTAGCCCTCCGGCCTCCGGGCCGCGGCGGGCGGCCGCCCCTCCAGTGGATCAGATCAACAACCGCGAGGACGTCACGGCGGAGGCCGAGGCGAGCAGCGCTCTGCTGGTGGTGCCGGCCGCAACAGCAGGTTTCCGATTTCACCACCCACGCCACGCCACGCCACCGAAATGATAGAAAAATTGGAGCCGCGATGGACGAGGGAGAGAGCGATGAGCTCCGTGATGAGCTGGAGGAGAGAGTTCATGAACGCGAGGCGGGCTCAGGCCGCTCTCAGATGCGATCAGCCGGAGGGGAACAGATGCGGGGCAGGGCCATCGCCATCAGGGCTCGCTATACTTTATTCAGTCGGGAAAAATAAAAACAACACGGCCGCGACTCGCAGTCTCTCATGGCGGGCCTTCACCGCGGCCGGCGCCGGCGCCGCTCCTCGGCGTAGAGCTGCCGCCAGAGGTGCTCGTCGCGGGCCACGGCGCGCTGCTGCTGCTGTTGCTGCTGCTGGGCCTGCTCGTCGTCCGACGAGTCCTCCACGCCCTGCAGGCACATGCCGTGCGCCGCGGCCGCGTACCACGACCCCTGCTCGTCCGCGATGCGCCGCTGCGCCGCCCCGAGCCCCGCGGCCGCGGCCGCCTCCTCGGCGCCCACCTCCGCCGCTGCGGCCTCCTCGTCCGACAGGAGCAGCGTCAGGTCCGAGTCCTCCGTGCCGATGTCGTCGCCCGAGCCGCACCCCAAAGTCTGCGCGGGACGAGGTCATCACACTCCCTACCCCCCGAGCAGATCGTCGTACTACCTGCCGACGCGTCGCCCCACCTGCTTGCACATGCGCTTGCACGGCCGCTGCCCCGGCACTCGGTCGCACGCCCTCAGCAGCTCGGCGAACTTCTTGTCGTTGGCTCGGAGTGCGCGGAGGCACTGCCTGAACCGGGGGTCGTACTGCACGTCCGACATGCGGTCCTTGGCGCTGGCCAGGAACCTACAGACAGAAGGTCGTACCGGCACCGCGAGACTTTGCGACCCTCCACGACGGCGATCTGGACGCGTACCTCCTCATGGTTCTCAGGCTGGCCTCGGCCCGCTGCCGCAGGTGGGTGAGCGCCAGCCACAGGGCGGCAGGCGCCAGCAGGGTGACCACGGCCAGGACGGCGCCGGCGGACGGCGCGGGCGGCCATGAGGGATGCAACTCAAAGGACCAGGACGGCGACGGTGCGTCCGAGGAGCCGGTCTCCAGCAGGAACGCGTCCCACTCCGGACGCGAGGACATTGCTGGCGCGGGGAAGACAGACAACAAAAACACCAACAAAAACAATAGGGGTGCATTGTTGGCGTCTCAGGCCAGCCAACCGTCTCCAACTGCTCCAACTGTTTCGCTCCCGCACAAAACTTCCCCACAAACACTTCATAGAACCCTTTTGCGGAATAAGGAATAATTCTCATCAATGTGGAAGAGAACAATGTGGCCCACCGGAAACACGACACTAGCAGGTCAGGGGAGAGGGGTGAACGAACCACCTGGACCCAGGGTGCGCATCGGCCCGTGCACTTGACGGGGGAAGAATCGATCCCCATGCCATCCCCCTTCCTCTGCCCGCCGTCTTCCCTCTTCCCCGCCCAGATGACCCGGAGGGCGACGCGTGCCCGCGACAGCAGTTTAGCATGAAGACCTCGATGACGATAACATTGGCTGTAAGATTGGGTGCGAGGAGGGGGTGGCCTCTATGCATAAGCGAAGGCCCGGCCGACGACGCCCCACACCCCTCCCTTCCCTTCCCTAGCCGTCGCGTCGGCGGCGAGGGAGGGGGGGGGGGGGGAGGGGGGGGGGGGGGGGGGGGTCCGAGGCGAGAGCGCCATGGATGTTGCGCAGGGGAAAAAAACAAACAAAAATGTTGTACACTGTGACGTCGTCGACCGTGTGTCAGGGCCACAGGGGCCACGGCACAACGCAGTATGCAGGTTTGCCTACTACTCGCTCTACCCGTAAGGCGCCATGTGGCCCCTTGGGTATGCAAACCCGCAACACTGTAGTGTCGCGTAGCCCTGCCTGACACACGGTACGGTAGCCGGGGGAAAAGACGAACGTGGTGAGACCAAGGAGTTTGTGCTGCAGAAAATGCAGCGCCGCAAGGGCCGCAAGCCGCCTTCCTCCTCCAACCCCCGGACAGACCGAATAGTAGGGCTACACGGAAGGCCCTTCTGCCTGCAGGCGGCGGCGCGGCATCAGCCTGTCTGTGGTGAATGTTCAGTCGCTGCAAAGCTAACTTCCGCCCTGAGGGCTGCGGCTCTGGTTGTAGGTTAGTGGCTGGGCTCGCTATGGCGCTGGCTCGGTAGCCACAGCAGCATCGCTGCGCGCAGGACCCAAAATTTTCAGAAACTCTGTCGTGAAATTCGATAACAATGGAAAGTTATGCTGGAGGAAATAATGTGAGTCGCCGGACGAGGAAGGGGCGGGCGCGGGCGAGGGAGAGGGTGTCGACGCCGCGGGGCATTCGTCCCCCTCGCCTTCCCCTGCTCCCCCCCTCTCTCTCTCTTTCGCACACTCTCTCCGTGCCCTCTCTCTCTCGACCTCCTTTCCCACACAATTTTAATCAACAACGATATTTAAATACGATTTTATTTTGCAAGCAAGAACTGACTGGATTACGAAGTACAAAATCTAGCTGCTGGAGGTCGCACGCAGAGCCTTACGTTCGCGTACAGACTTTCAGTTTCGTTCCCATGACAATAATACTGCAGACTCCAAGGCCAAAGCTGCCACTCCATAGGATGCGAAGTAACGTGAAGGGGCAGAGAGTTGCCGCCTGGCTGCTCGGTCTGGCCGGCTGCGTCCGCCTCGTGTCCGCCTGCCCGGCAGCTCGGTCTGCGCGGCCGCCGCCGTGCGGTGGTGGTCCGGAGAAGGCTGTGCTGCCCCATTTTCCGAACCACTCCCGACACGGAATTGAATTAGCGTGCGGTCGGCCCGTCCGCTTCTCCCGAGTCCGTCCCGGGCCCCGCCGTAGGGCCCAGCGCGGCGGCGCCAAGATTCAAAATGTGAGCCGTTCAGCTAAAACCGGAGAATCAAGGCGCGGCAGTGAAAAGAGGGGCGAGCGTAAAAACGCGACGCTGCGGAGACATGATTAAAAATGAAATGACAAACACGGTGACTCGAGGGGCATAACAAGCTCCCCTTCGTCCCGTGTACAGCGCCGTGCGCTCGCTATCCGGGCGGCGGCGTTCGTGGTTTTGTGGGGCTTCCAATGAGAAATGCCGGGCCGACGAGCGCAGACGGGGGAAATGTCGAATATGTTCAATTCACCGGAGAGAGAGTGTGGGGGGAAGGAGGAGGGGCTGGCAGAGAAAGGGGGGGGGGGGACGGACACAATGGGAGCAGAGCAGTCTCATATCATTCCAGCAGCGGCAGGAAGAAGAACTCCAGGAATGATTGGTCTTATTCCCATTCAGCCTTACTGATATGAGGCAGTCTGACGGGGCTGTTGCTCCCTCTTCTCTCCTATCGTCCTCTCTCTCTCTCTCTCGTTTCATGTATTTTTTCCTTTGTTTCGGTGTTGATCGGCAACCTCGGCTCCGATGTTGAAGAACGTATATTTTAGGAAAAATCGAGCTTATTCCATATATTTGCACATTTTGTACTACGTGGAGACATCCTCCTGGAAATCAAACGCAGTACCCGGTATGTTTTATGACCATGACCAACAACTTGCGCCCCCACCCCCCTCACACACACGCACCGACCTCGGCGACGTTTGCGACGGAAGGCTATTGAACTTCACACTCTCGCTCACCTCGGCCCACCCAATCTGCTTTCAGGGAATATAGACACGCCTTGTCTCGTCCCTCGACGCCTCATCCGCCACCCTGCCCTGCAATATCGCCCCGTCTGCTGGACCACACGGGGAGGAGGGGGAGGGGAGGGAGGCACCGAGCGATATCGAGTTATACAGCGTGACGTCGGGATTAAGGGGCAGATCAGACCCGCCCGCCCAGCCAAGCCTTTCCTCTGTCATACTACAGCAGCAGCAGCAGCAGTAGTCTGCTGCTGTGATCCCACAAAACTGCTGTATACAATAGGACGGAAATAACAAATACCTGGTATGGAATCCAGTGTGGCCGACCGCGAGGCCGACCGACCCGCAGACCAGCTGAAAATTATTAAAATTATTTCT